GTGGTCCACTACAGGCCTGGGGTCTGCGCCTTGTGCTCCTGGGGAGCTGTGCGTCAGGGAAGGGCTGCATCTGCTGCGTGTGGGCCTCTTGCGCACGTGTGTGTGTGTGTGTGTGTGTGAGCATTTCACGCCTGTATCGGTGCTGGAAAGTTTTTTTGTGTTCAGGTGACATTTAACACTCCCTCCCCCACTTCCTCCCAGCCCTGCGGGCGGGGGTTGGAAACTTAGCACTTTATATTTATACGGAACATTGAGGACGTGTCAATAAAATATTGTTTTGTTTAAAAAACAACGTCTCAAGCATCTGGTCTCAAGTCAATGCCCCGGGAAAATGCTCCAATGCTGTGTCTTCATCAGACCTCCCCTTTCCTTGCGTGGCCAGTGCCTGGGGCATGGAAGGAGGAAGGTGCCCGTGGAGCGGAGGGGCCCTCCTGGCCCCAGGTGCCCTGTGCTGGTGTCCTAGTGCAGGCAGCGTTCTGTCTCCAGAGCTGCAGGAGGTGGTTTCTGGGAGGCTGTCTCCAACCTTATTCTTATCACTGGCTTTGGACCCTGGGGGGAGAGGCCTGTGTCCATGGCTCAGACCCACTTCTTTTTGGGAACATGGGTGGATATGTATGCGTGTGCGTCCATGTGTGTGGCTGTTTGCACAGGTGTGTGTGTCTGGTGTTCTCAGATTGCACACAACCTGCATGTCACGTGCGCCTGAAGATAATCCGTGCATGTGCCTGTGTGTGCGCCTCTTGCGGCGGCTGTGCGCGCATGAGCTAGGCCGGGCCTCCTCTTCCCCACAGTAGGGCAACATAGCCGCCCCCCTCTCCTCTCGTATGCACAGGCACAGCCCCCAGGCCTCTGAATGCCTGTTTGCCCTGGGGCTCATGGCAGCCCATTCCCAAGTTCTTTCTTGTCCCCAGAAGCCACGTGGCCTCGTGTCTGGCGTGAAAACACGTCACCGGGGATGGGCTTAGTTGCTCTTTACACCCACCCAACCAGCATGGTTTTTTTTTTTTTTTTTAAGATTTTATTTTTATTTGACAGAGACCACAAGTAGGCAGAGAGGCAGGCAGAGAGAGAGGAAGGGGAAGCAGGCTCCCTGTTGAGCAGAGAGCCTGACTCCGGGCTTGATCCCAGGACCCTGGGATCATGACCTGAGCTGAAGGCAGAAGCTTTAACCCACTGAGCCACCCAGGCATCCTGCAAGCAGCATGTTTTGACTGAATGTTGGTTACCTGCCTGGCACGGGACTACGCCGTCCGGGGAGGTAGGAGTCATGGGCCCAGCTGAAGCCAGAAGTGGAGGGGTGCGTGCTGAGGCTGCTGGCAACAGGGGCTATGATTTGCCTGGGTGCAGGGGTGCGGAGGTCCTCATGGTCAACTCTTGGACAGCTACCCCTGCTTCATCCAGCCTCCACTCCTGGCCACTCCGAGTGTCATCGGGCTGATGCTGTTTGTCCTTCGCAACTCAGGTCAAGGGTGCCCCCTACAGAATGCTGGCTCTTCCCCGTGGCATTCTGGGTACCTGGCAGGGTACACCTGAGGGGTGGAGCTCGATGGTTAGGAGGCCAGGTTTGCTCTTGCATTTCTTCTCCCTTGTCTGTAAAATGGGGTTTTATCATTAGCCTCTGCCAGTCGGTGTGGTGTGGAGAACAGCACAAGTCAGTCCATTTAAGAGGCTTAGCCTGGCATCTACACGTAGTAGGTGCTCAGGAAATATGCTAGCTACTGCTGGCCCAGGAGGTGAAGGTTCGCAGGTGTGTAGCTGTGCCTCTCAAACAGGCCGGAAGCTCGTGAAGGCCAGGCCCGTGGTCTGCTCTGCCCTCGGTGCCCAGAGTCTGGCACAGGTCGGCACTCACTCCAACAGGCCTGGTGAAGGATGAGCAGCCTGCCTCCCAGGTTTTATTCCCTCTGCTCTCTAGGACGGGTGAGGCGCTCCCGGTGGGAACCAAGCAGAGCTGGGCTTGTGATCAAGGCTTTCTTAGGCCCTGAGTAGACTTCCGTTTGGACCTGCCAACAACACTGAACTTGGGTTGGGAGTGGAGGGCAGCTGGGGCTCTGAGTCATCGGGGCCTTCCCACCACCCAGTCCTATCTCACAAACAGCAGGGCTGGGGGCTGAGGCCCCTGCCCATCGGCTTTGCCCCATCCCTTCCACTCACTCTCCTCCTCCAGCCTTCTCTACGTGTGTTCTTAAGTTTTTCTTTTTTTTTAATTTCTTTTCTTTTTTTTTTTTTGTGAGAGAGAGAGAAAGAGAGAGAGATCAAGGCCAAGTAAGTGGGGGTGGGGGTGGGGACAGAGGGAGAGAGAGAGTCAAGCAGATTCCACAAGCAGCCCCCATGCCAGGCTCGGTCTCACCACCCTGAGATCATGACCTGAGCCCAAATTAAGAGTCTGCTGCTTAACCAACTGAGCCACCCAGGTGCCCCAAGTTTGTTGTTTCTGCCTCTCTCTCCTTCTTTCTTATTTATTTCTTTAAAATTTTTGAACTGTGGGCCTCCTGGGTGGCTCAGTCAGTCAAGGAGCCCGCTCTTGATTTTGGCTCAAATCATGATCTCAGGGTCCTGGGATGAGCCCTGGGCTGGTGAGGGGGGTGGAAAATGTGTACGCAGCAGGGGATCTGCTTGAGGCTTCGCTCTCTCTGCCCCTCCCCACCTCCCCACCCCTGTTAACGCTCTCTCTAAAATGAATAAATAAATCTTTTTTAAAAAAATTTAAATTGTGGGGCTCCTGGGTGGCTCAGTGGGTTAAAGCCTCTGCCTTGGGCTCAGGTCATGATCCCGGGGACCTGGGATCGAGCCCTGCATTGGGCTGTCTGCTCGGCGGGGAGCCTGCTTCCCTTCCTCTCTCTCTGCCTGCCTCTCTGCCTACTTGTGATCTTTGTCTGTCAAATAAATGAATAAAAACTTTAAAAAAAATGTAAATTGTGGTTAAAAATATATGATAAGTCCCTCCTTATCCGAGGTTTTGCTTTCTGTGGTTTTAGCTGCCTGTGGTCAACTGATGTCTGGAAGCAGGTGCTCCTCCTTCTGACGTATTGCTGGAAGGTCAACAGTAACCCAGCGATCTGTCACAGTGCCGACATCACCCACCTCCCTTCCCCTCATCACGTAGGCATTTTATCATCTCGCACCATCACAAGAAGGGTGAGGTTCGGTGCAATGAGATATTTTGAGAGAAAGACCATTTATTTTAATTTTACATTTATTAGTTGTTAATTACAGCATTTATTAACTTTTGTTCATCTCTTACTGTGCCTAACTTATAAATTACATGTTCTCATAGGTTTGTATGTATAGGAAAAAACAGACTTGTGTATCAACCACAGTTTCAGGCATCCACTGGGGATCCTGAAATGTATCCCCCGCAGAGGAAGGGGGACTACTGTATAACATGAAATTTACCACCTTTACGATTTTTTTTTTTTTTTTTAAATAGGTTCCTCGCCCAGCATTTGGCCCAACATAGGGTTTGAACTCATGACCCTGAGATCAAGACCCGGGCTGAGTCGGACACTTGAACTGACTGAGCCACCAGGTGCTCCATCACCTTTACTATTTTTAATTAGAAAGTAACGTTAAAGATATTCAAGATCTCCAGAAAGTTTCCCTCTCGCAGAACTGCATCTCTGTGCCCATTAAATGACAGCTCGCTGTTTCCCCCTTCCCACAGGCCCTGGCAACCACCCTTCTAGTTCCTGTCTCTGAATCTGACTGTGTGTCTCCTCTAAGTGGAATCATACCAGGTTGGCCCTGTTGTAAAGGGCTTATTTCGCTTCACATAATGTCCTCAAGCCAAACTGCATTTCTTAACCAAGAATTTGTTTCTCTACCCCAGCAGGGTGACTATCAGGATGATTTTAGCAAGCTCTCATCAGCCGTGGCCAGTCCGTGCACGTTTACACACCCTAACACCCTGTCTGGGGGGCAGGGGCATCTGTCTGTTCTCCCCGTGGCTCTCTTATATTATATTTGGAGAAATGCTGGATTCCAGGCATGGCAGGAGGCTGAGCACACCAGCACAGTGTGGACCGTAGCTGGTGACCTTGCCTCTGCTCTGTCACTTCTCCTCACTGGGCATTGGTGGGGGAGGTCCTCAAATCTTTCACCTCCAGGATTTAAATCCAGGTGGGCCCCCTGGTGACCCAGCTCTGAGAAAGAGGCTAAGGAGTGTAGAGGGAGAGGAATGTGGGTAAGGAGCTTTAGCTTGTGGATCTGTGTAATGGGGATAAATGCCAATTGTGCAAGGCTGTTGTGGGGATGACAGGGGTAGTGTCCATGCAAGGTGAAGGTATCCAGAAGCTCCCAGTCTCCACATGGCAGGCTTCTCTGGGGCGCTGGTTACGCTGGGTGTTCAGTGTGTAAACTTTCCCAGGTTCCCACACTTGGGACTGTGCACTTCCCTCTATGTAAACTAAAGTAAAAGCTTATAAAAATTAGTGACCCTTTCCTCCTTCCAGAGAGGCTGGGGGTGCCTCAGGGTCTCAGGCAGCTTTTCCCAGGTGTGAGCGAAGGGTGGTAGGGGTGGGGGGCAGGAAAGGGATCTCCCACTGTTGGAGGATATGGGCCATCCCGGCGTGCCCGCCTTAGCACCCTTCTGTGATGTTTCCCTGCCCCCTGGTGGTGGGAGGGGACCTTAAACGAGACACACTCCGGAGCGGTACCCTCCCTCCCTGCAAGGTGCTTTGTGCCTGGTTTCTCACCTTCTCCCGGACTTCAGCCAGGTGGAGAAGTATTTGACCAGGGTCCAGAAGCTCGGGCCTGGGCTGGGGGTGGGCTGGGGGTGGGGGGTGGGGAACGCAGGTAGGAGCGGTAAAGGGCTGCAGGTGGTGTTGATGGAGCTGGGCTGCAGGTGGGGTTGGTTGAGGAGGGGCTGCAGGTGGGGGCTGGAGAAGCTGCTATTTAAGGGGTAGGTGGGGGCGGGGGCTGGCGGCAAGGCGGGCTTGTCTTTCCGGGTGTCTGGGCTTCAGCTTGCTGCGGGGCTGGTGGGGCCCACCCCAGACTGCGTGAACATGGGCGGCCTCTGGCCATGGGTGCTGGGTCTGCTCTCTTTGCCAGGTAAGAGTGCTGCCCTGCCCTTCTCTTCTGGAGTTTTGGTTCCAGCCACAAAGCTCCAGTAGAGGAGGGAAGGGTGTGGCTGGAGCCCGCAGGAATCCAGGGATCCGAAGGGGTCTGAATAGCTCCAGGGATGTTCCCAGAAGTCAGTTCCTAGGGGTGCCAGGGGAGGCTTCCTGAAGATGGGAGGGAGCAGGTGTGGCACTCCAGAGGTCCCTGTTTTGCTTGTGCCAGGCTGGCCCAGTCTGAGTCCATTTTTCCAGAGGGCTGGGCTGAGAAGGGAGGCAGGGGGCAGGGTTCAGGCTAGCCCATACCGCTGTCACTGTGGGCATCTGAGGTCTGTCTCCCCCTCTCTTCTGCTCCTACGCACGGATACTCAGAGCCAGGGGCTGCCTTTCAGAGCCCAGTGTTGGTCTCCTTAAGGGAGCTCCTTCCTCAAAGTTGTCTAGGGACTGAAGACTACTTTCTGGAGGCCTGCCTTTGGGAAGGGCCTGGCTCTGGCTGTCTGATATCCCCCTTCCCCCACATCCTATTGTCCTCTCTCGCCAGTGAGGGCACTTTGGGCATCATGGGTCCGCACCTGTCCGCAGGTTTGATCCTAGGAGCACCCTCTGCCTGCACTTCCCCAGAAGCCTGTGGAACCAGCTTCTCAGAGGGCCTCAACCCTGAGGAGACCCAGACGTCCTGGGACAAGGACATCCCTGCGATTAACCAAGGTGAGGGCACCGTGTCGTCTTGTGGGGTGGAGGGGCTCTGAGTCGATGTGGTGTGGTAAGGACTGTGCTGAACACGCAGCCAAGCAGAACAAGCTGGAAAGGTGCCCGTTCACTGGGCTCTAGAGGAGGAACCTTTCCTTGTTCTGTGGGCAGCTTTTTGAAAAGTCTGTTTCTGTATCTTCTCTACTGCACTGTTATTTTCTAAGAGAGAAAAGCCTGGGTTTTAAAAAAACGGTCTGAGAAAAGTATGGGTCTTTGGGGTACTCCATCTGGTGTTGAGTGAAGTCATTAGTGGGTGTCTGAGATGTCCGCCATCTGGGGCAGGATTGTCCGCAGGTGTGAGCTGGGGGGTGGGGTGGGCAAAGCCAAAGCCGCAGGAGGCCTCCTGCCTCCCTGTCTGGGGATCTCCGCTGAAGAAAGAACATGGATAATCTGGGATGAAGCTGATTGGCGGGGGACAGACTGGAGTCTGGAGGTTGGAGCTGAAGCGTTGGGGGAACTTTGTCTGGAGGGATGAAAATCTTCCGATGACCCTGTGGTCCGGCTCCTCTTTCTCTGTGAGGCGACCTGGAGCCCCAGCACGGCTGGGCAGGAGCAGGGCAGCGTGCCACCTTCTAGTGACTGTGACTGGTCTGGAGGCAGCTAGAACCAATCTGTTCCAAAGCTTCCCCGGCATTGACTTTCTTTTTTCAGCCACCACAGAGGACACTCTCAGCCAGGACTGCTGGAGGCCCAATGGCTACCTGAGATGCGCTTTACTGGGAAGCCCTCACAGCTGAAGGCCCTTGGCCAGGGATGCCTGGGAAGCTACTCCCTCTCCTGCCCAGGGCGGCCCACAGTGGTTCATAAGGGCCATGGGGACAAGCGTTTGGTGCCTTTTGTGGTCCTGAGCTCCTATGGGATGAGGCTGAGGCTGTATTCCAGCAGAGCCTGGGTCTTCCTTGGCACCCCCCCTCCCCATAAATTACTTGCAGGTACCTCGTTAGCTCAGGCTCTGTGTCTAGGGAACCCAGCCTAATGCACTCCGGGGCCAGAGCCTCTTCCAGGACTGACCTTTAGTAAGGGGAGAAGGGCTTTAGCTGGGGTGAAGGGCTGCCAGCTGTGACCGGAGAGAGAAGCAGAGACAGGCTGACATGGGGAGGGAGTGAGCCAGAGAGCCAGACTCACGGGCGCCCGACACCTTCCTTCTGTGTTGGTGCGAGCTGGAATTGGTCACTTATCACTGAGAGAGCCCTGGATATCCCACGGATGGGTAGGAATTAGATGGTGGATGAGGAAGGACAGGAGACCCAGGGCGTGCTCCCAGAGGGTGGCCTGAGCTGGAGAGGGGGAGGACATAGGGGACAGCTGAAGAAAAGACTGCTCCTGATTAGCAGAGAGACTCAAACATAGAGGGAGGGGTTGGAACTGGATTTGCATGGGTTGGGGGAGCTCTGGACTGTGTTTTAACAAGGGAGAGATGGGATGGGGCAAAGAAGCTTCATGCATGTTTGTAGACTGAAGACTCTTTCTCCAGTCAGAAAGGCCAGACTCTGGGGTTGCTGCTGGGCCTGTCCCTAGAGTCTGGTTTCGGGGGGGGGGGGGCATGAACTCACCCACATCCCTCCCTTCTTCCCAGGGCTCATCCCAGAGGAATCCCCTGAGAGCAGCTTCCTCCTGGAGGGGGATATCCTTCGGCCAGTGAGTGTGAGCATGTACACACACGGGTGTGAATTCCTTCCCAGAGAGCGTTAGAAGCCTTTGAGCCCAGTCTCTGATGTCATGCGGGCGTGATACATGAGGGAGTCATCTCTGTTGCTCATAGCGTGATAGATATCCCTTCTTGCTAAAGTCACAGGGAATGGTCTAGTAGGAATCAGCCAGACTGAATGGGAGGGAGGGTAACATCTATAGTGCTAACAGCAGTTAGCCTGGGAGGGCTTCCCGAAGGAGGGGGTTTGAGCCCTCAGTATCCAGCTTGGTATTCTATCCAGGGCAGGTGCTCAGAAAGTACTGGAATGAAGGAAGGGATGAGCACAGACTGGCAGAGGGGCTGGTGGGGCTGTAGGAGGTGGTGGTGGGGAACCCCGGAGGTGGTAGCCATGGTCTGGGATCCCCCTCTTGGGAGGGGTGGAGTTAGAAAGGGAGAAGGCTGGGAAGGAATTGGGGTGACTTGCAGGGGGAGATGAGAATGCATGGTGTCTAGGAGAACAGAGCCATCTTCTAAGTGACTGGGAGGGGAGAGGTATCCTCCTGAACAGGACAGTGACCTGGTGAGAGCAAGTTCGTTTTGTTGGCTGGAGGCTGCCTACTGTTAGCCCAAAGTGAGGCTGGGTTGCAGAACCAAAGCCTGGAGCTGGTGGGTGGGGCAAGGAGCCTGTCCCCAGTCACCCAGTGAGGACAGGGAGGAAGAGCAGAATCCAGTAAAAATCTGTGGTAGACCATGGGGCAGGACCGGCCAGGGTGCCATGAAGCCCACGCCTCACAGGGTTCTGGGTGGCAGAAGGATGGAAAAGGAGTTGCTAAGCCCATCAGCCTGAGAAGGACCTGCCTCCTCTTTCCCTGGAAGTTCAGGGATGCTTGGCTGACGGCGGGGTTTCAGGAAGGACGGGGCTGCTGCTGGAGCTCTGAGCCTTTCTGACCGTGGGCACCCTGGGGAGCTGGCACTCCCAGTCAGCCTCTTCAGGAACAAGTATTGGGTTTTGTCCTTATGCTTGATGGAATAAGATTCAGATCCCTTCTGTAGAACAAAGGCTCGCGTTGTGTATTGTTCATCTAGCAGGCCCCCGGATGTCCCACCCCTCTGTCCCCACCCTCCTATACCTGCGTCCTGCTTCTCGGGTCTTTTGGGTCCTTTGGTGCCTGAGACGCAGCACCTCTGGGGCCAAGAAGTTTGGCTGGCCCATGTCCCCAGGGCTCCCTGAACTGCCCTCTCTCTTCAGAGTCCCTTCCAGGTGTTCTCAGCGAGCAGCAACAAGTGGCCTAAGAACGGGGGTGTTGTGGAGGTCCCCTTCCTGCTCTCCAGCAAGTATGGTGAGTGAGTGTGTGCGTGCGGTCCTGGGAGCTGTGGGCCTCCCTGTTCTAGACTCTTACTCCCCTGTGTAGCCTGGGCTCCTCTGGGGTTCTTCTCTCTGCCTCTACTTGCTGCCATTACCAAAGAGCCCTTCCCCAAGAAGCCTTTATTCCTGAGCGCCTCCGGAGCTGGGAGGGCTGAGAGCCCAGAAGAGCTGATGGAACAGACAGTCCTCTGTACCCCCATCACAAGGCCACACGGCCCAGGGGACAGGGACCTACCCAAGGCTGCACAGCCAGGGCCTGTCTGGGACCCAGCTTCCCCCTCCCCCCTCCTCCCTCGACACTCAGGCTGCCCTTTCCTGACATTTCCATTTTGGAAATATGCTTGGAGGCTCCGTTCCCATCCTGCGCGTGGGCCTGCCAGGGGTCACAAGGGCTCCCGGGGGTCTCCCCTGGAGGCTCAGCCGCGGTGTTGCCTCTCCCAGATAAAGCCAGCCGTGAGGTCCTCCTGAGGGCATTTGCGGAGTTTGAGCGGTTCACGTGCATCCGGTTTGTTGCCTACCGGGGCCAGAGAGACTTCATTTCCATCATCCCCATGTCTGGGTACGTGCTCAGGGGCATGTGTGCACTCGTGCACAAGCGTGTGTGTGTGTGTGTGTGCACGCGCATGTGTGTGTGGGCACCGTGTGTGTGGGTTTCCTCTGCGTTCTTTGGCGTTCAGCAGAGATTCACCCAAGCCATCATCTAAAGCCTGTCTCTGGGCCAGTCTTCCCAGATCCAGAGCCATCCTGCCCACTGAGTGGTCTGCCGGGTGGGAGCTGGACCTACAGATAATTAGGGCAGACGGTGGAGAAGGATGAGAAGGGGATGCTTGACCCTCTTCACAAAACCTTCCTGTGAAGAGGCTTCATGGTCTGGGGAGGGGGTTCGGCTTCTGTGGGACCCACCTGGCCTCTGATCCAGGTTCTACCATGTAGGAGCCAGCCGCCTCAACTCCTGGCTCTCCTGCCTTCTCTGAAATGGGGACGACGGCAGTACCCACTTCTAGCTTGTTAGGGATCAAAGATCGTACGTGAAAGCATTGAGTTAGGGACCCCTGCATGGGGATGTTCACTCAGCGAGCTGCTTCTGTTATCGATGTTCCTTTCCATCCCTCCATCCTCCTTGTACCCCAGGCTGGGAATGGGAATTCAGTGTACCCATTTCACAGATGGCCAGGCAGTGAAGGGACTTGGGAACTTCAGGCCTGGGACTAGAATCTAGGATGGGGGCTACCTGTTGGTGCTCATCTCAGGATGTTGTGGGGGAGGGCAAGGGGGCCTGGGTCTGCTCTGGATCTCTGGGCTGGTGTCTACCCTGTGCGCTCTTCTGGCCCTGCAGGTGTTTCTCCAGCGTGGGACGCAGTGGAGGGATGCAGGTGGTGTCCCTAGCACCCACCTGTCTCCAGAAAGGCCCAGGCATTGTCCTGCATGAGCTCATGCATGTGCTGGGCTTCTGGCATGAGCACTCACGGGCTGATCGGGACCGCTATATTCGTATCAATTGGAACGAGATCCTCCCAGGTAAGCCAAGTCATGCATAGCACAGGCTGGACCGGGGATCTTGGAGTGAGAGGGCATGGGCCAGGGCCTGAGCTGCCTGTCACTTTAGAAGAGGTTATCCAGGGACCTGGGTGGCTCAGTTGGTTAGGCGACTGCCTTCAGCTCAGGTCATGATCCCAGAGTCCTGGGATCGGGTCCCGCATCGGGCTCCCTGCTCCATGGGGAGTCTGTTCCCTCTGACCTTCTCCCCTTTCTGACCTTCTCCTCCTTTCTCACTGTCTCTCTCTCAAATAAATAAAATCTTAAAAAAAAAAAAAAGTTATCCATCTTCCCCACCATCTGCCTGTCTGCCATGGGGAAGGAGGGGTTCCTACTTGGCTTTGAAACCTGGAGGTGGTCCAGATACTACTGCCCTGGGCTATAAGCCTTCCATCTGCCCACCCACAGCTCTGCCTGAGCTAGAGCATCACTATTTGCTTTGTCTCTCTCTCTCTCTCTTTTTTTAATCTCATGGTAATAGCCAGGCACCTGAGAATGGAGTTGGTGTATCCTCTGACCCTTGTTCAGTCCTTCCTGCACCAGACACTGCTGGGTGGGCTTGGGGCAGGGGCTGTGTTCCCTGGAAGTAGTGGGCTGTATGTGTCAAGTGTCTGATGCAGGAGGCCGAGGACAGCCCTGCAGGGGCTCAGTCCTTGTGAACTGGGCACCAATGGGCATGGGGGACAGAGGAAGCCCGGGGAGACCATGTCCCAAAAGGTGGCAGCGGCAGAGCCAGGGCTGGTCTGGGGAGTGGGCCACTGTGTTGCACACCAGTGAGCAGGTGCTGTGTGCTGGGTATCTCGGGGCGGGGGGGAGCAGGCTGAGTCAGGAGGTAAGAGTAGAGGCCATTGCTTCATGAGGGAGGAAAGTAGAGGAACTATGTGAACAGGAATTTGGTCTGGGGGAATGTGGGGGTAAGGGGAAGGGTTGGAAGGCTTCCTGTAGGCAGAGAGGTTCTGGTGGGAGTGCCTCCTCTGCTGTTGTGAGGTGAACTAGGTGAAATGGGCAGGGGAGGGTACTCAAGAGACCAACATGCATGGAACCCCCAAGAAAGGGTGCCATGTGGGAGGGACTTAAGTAGCACCTTACAATGAGACAAGGGATGGAGTTCGAGATCTGAGATTAGCCTAAGGAAGGGGATGATAACAGTGATTAAACCCTGCAGAGACTTTAATCCTTCCTAGTGCTCATGGGATACTTGGGAAAACTTACCATATGATAGAAAAACTTCAAATTTGAAAGAATTAATTCAAATGTTTTGATCATGATATAAAATAATAAAACTAAAAACTTCTTCTACTTACAAATTAAAGTCTAAAAAACAACAATAACTCTTTCTTTTAGCTTCAGGCTTAAAGAATTGCAGGAATTCTCAAAAAAAACAAAAACAAAAACAAACCCCAGCACAGTAGAGCTGATGGTTCTCAGCTAAATCAATGCTCAGGGAAAATATGTAGACTTAAATACTTCTATCAGTAAAAATAGAAAAAAATTAAGGATTTCAATCCAAGTTAAGAAAAAGTAAAGCAGGAGGGAATTAAGTTAAAGACCGAAACTAATGAATTAGAAAACCAAGAGCACTCAAACTCATGGTTTTCTTTCTTTTCTTTTTTTTTAAAGATTTTTAAACTTATTTTACAGAGAGAGATCACAAGTAGGCAGAGAGGCAGGCAGAAGAGGGAGAAGCAGGCTCCCTGCTGAGCAGAGAGCCCGATGTGGGGCTCAATCCCAGGACCCTGAGATCATGACCTGAGCCAAAGGCAGAGGCTTAACCCACTGAACCCACCCAGGCGCTCCTCGAGTGGTTTTCTTAAGCAATTTTCCCCACTTATTAAGAATGAAGAAAAATGAGAATACATTTATATTCTGTACAGAACAAACTGCTAAGATATATAAACTAATGACAGTAATGAACTGGGGTGGGGAGACAGGAACTCAGAAAGGGAATGGAGTGTGAGGCTTATTATAGATCTCAATATCTTTTGACTTTTGAACCAGATGAATATATTGCCTATTCAAAACTGTTTAATATCTTAAGGGTTTTTAAAGGGAAGGGTGAAGAACTCTCTAGAGGCAAGTATGGCAGTGACAGGGGAAAAGTGAGTGCTCTGGCCAGTGGGGAAGTGCTGGACTCAAACCTGGGGGGTGGGTGTGCCGGCCCAGGGCAGAAAGAACAAGGTGGCTTACTGCTGGGGAGTGGGAGTTCAAGTGCAGGTGATGGGCTGGTGGGTCTCCAGAGCTGGTTGAAGGGTAGGTACTCTTTCTCTTGGGGGGTGGGGGTGGGGGTGTGGGTGTGTGTGTGTGTGTGTGTGTGTGTGTGTGTGTGTTTTGAAGACACACAGTGTGAGACTCCGTGGAAAGTGTAGGTTCTACAAAGACCATTGCATCTGGGTGAGCTTGAGTGGGGCAGGAAGTGGAGGACACTCTTTAGGAAGTCATGAGGTCCCTGTGCTTCCACATCAGCTAGTGCCGGTCTGGACCCCTCCTGGGGAGGGGAGGACTAGGCAATGAAGGCACCAAGGGAGTAGGGACCAGGGACTGGTACTGGGTGGGGGGCACGTCTGGGTATGGTTTCAGATCCCTCAGCTCACATAGGTTACAAGTTCCTGGAAGGTCCCTAACACCTAACCCCTCCCTCCCCCACCTTCTTCCCCACCCCCCATCACCAAGTTTTGTGGTTGTTCTCCACCCTTGTCCCCCAGGCTTTGAAATCAACTTCATCAAGTCTCAGAGCAGCAACATGTTGGTGCCCTATGACTACTCATCAGTGCTGCACTATGGGAGGTGAGGACCCCCTTTCCTTTCCTTCTTTCCTTCACTGCCCTGCCAGCCCCCACTGTGCTCTGGACTCAGTTCCCCACCTGCTGGGTTTCAGGTTTGCCTTCAGCCGGCGGGGGCTGCCCACCATCACACCCCTCTGGGCTCCCAGTGTCCAAATTGGCCAGCGATGGAATCTGAGCACCTCGGACATCACACGGGTCCTCAGGCTTTATGACTGCAACCCGAGTGGCCAAGGCCCCCGTGGTGGAGGTGAGTGACAAGGGGCAGGGTGATCTGAGGAATCTGGAGCAGGTTCCTGTGTGGAGGGTAGCGTCCATGAGGGTGAAGTGGTAGGACTGAGGTTGCAGAGGTGAGCAAGGCGAAATTGTCAGGGGTTCCCTACAAGAGATGTAGAGAAGGCATTTGAAAATTCTTACTTATGATTAAAAACTCTTAGCGAATAGAAATAGAAGTTGCTTTTTTTTTTTTTTTTTTTTTAAGACTTTTTCATTTACCTGACAGAGGGACTGCAAAAGAAGGAACATAAGCAGGGGGAGTGTGAGAGGGAGAAGCAGGCTTCCCTCAGAGCAGGGAGCCAGATTCGGGGCTCGATCCCAGGACCCTGGGATCATGACCTGAGCCAAAGGCAGAGGCTTAATGACTGAGCCACCCCAGGTGTCCCTAGAGGTCACTTTCTCAACCTTAACATGGGTATCTATCAAAAATCCAGAGCAAAAATCATGTTTAATGTAAAAGTGCTAAAATCAGGACCAAAACAAGATTTTTCACTATTGTCCCGTCTGTTTGATGCTGTAGTGAAGGTCTTAGCCATTGCAGTACAGCAAGAGAAATAATGAAAAGTCTGAAGATTAGGAAGGAGGCAAAAACTGTCACTGCTCATAGATGACGATTATCTATATTGAAAGCAACAACACCTATTAACAAACTATTGGAAACAATAGGAATTTTCTTATTCTGTAAAGATTTATTTTGGGGAGGAGGGTCAGAGGGAGAAGAGGAGAGAGAGAGAGAATCTCAGGCAGGCTTCCCCTAAGTCTGGTGTGAGGCTTGACACCATCACCCTGAGATCATGACCTGAGCCAAAACCGAGAATGAGATGCTTAATTGAACCACCTAAGTGCCCCAGCAATAAGAATTTTAAAAGACAGTTGTATAGAAACTTCCATATGATTACATCAATAGTTGGAAAACATAATAAAAAAAAACCATTATAATAGCAATAAGGTCCCAAGGATTAATCTGACAGAAGTTCTGTAAAAAGTTCTATGGAAAATTAACCTTCATTAAAATCATGAAAGATTCTTAAATACCTAAGAGATATGTATCCTGTGCATTAATAAGAAGACAATGTAAAAATGTCAATTCTGATCTTTAGAGTCTGTCAGTTCCTACTGAAAATCCCAAGAAGCTTTTTGGCAATCTTGACCAGGTGATTCTAAAACTTACATGAAAACACAAGAGGCAGGATGCCTAGGGGGCTCACTCGGTTAAGCATCTGCCTTCGGCTCCGATCATGATCCCAGAGTCTTGGGACTGAGTCCCATGTTGGGCTCCTTGTTCTGCAGGGAGCCTGCTTCTTCCTCTGCCTGCCACTCCTCCTGCTTGGGCCATCTCTCTCTGACTAGTAAATAAAATCTTAAAAAAATTAGAACACAAAAGGCAAATAATAGCAAAGATACTCTTGAAGAAAAATGAAGTGGAGGGACTTGCTCTACCAGATATCAAGATATATAGTTTAAAAAATATTTGTACAAATGTATCCATATAAAATACATATAGGAAATGTATGTACATAAAATGTGTCTAGGATAGAACATTGCCCATTGAAACAGAACGGAGAGTCCATAAATGACTTCTACTCAGAAGTGGAGCCTTGATGAAGGGGCGCTGCCGAGCATTAGGGAAAGAATAGACTAGTCACTGAGTGGCTCTCAGAGGACTAGTTATACATTAAAAAAATTCCCAACTCATGCACAAATTCCTCTCATATATATAAGACTTTCATATAAATAGAATAAACTTTAGGGGAAAAAATAGTAAAAACCTTCATGACCTTGGGATAGGTAAGGATTTCTTTAAGACACAAAGGAACCCATAAAACTGGAAAGATTCATGAATCCAACTACACTAAGATCTCCTATGTAGTTATTCTAGTAAAACTGCTAATCAAAAGACAAAGAATGTTACAAGTCAGAAGAGGACTTTTGTAACACATAATTGTATCCCAAATACATAATATATTATATGGTTAATATAACATACATGATAAGAAAAAGCTGGAAGTACAAAGGAGAAAGACAGGAAGAGACCGAACAAGCACCTCACAAAGGAAACCAAATGAGAAGTAAACACGAGCCCTTCAGCCTCCCTCACTCACGTGTATGTGAGCGTCCCTAATCCCAGCTCTAGGAAACTGCCCATCTACGTTCTGTCTCTCTAGGTTTGCCTATTCTGGAAACTTCATGTAAATGGAATCCTGCAGTAGAGGATCTTTTTTGACTGGCTTCTTTTACTTAGCATAATGTTCTCAGGGCTCATCCATATGGTATCATGTAGGAGTCCTTCATTCTTTTATTGTCAAATGACACTCCATTGTATGGACATGACATTTTGTTCGTTCATCAGTTGAAAAAGATATTTGGGTTATTTCTACTTTTGAGCTATTATGATTAATGCTACTACAGATGTTTGTATCAGATTTTATGTGAACAGGTGTCTTCCTTTGGATATACACTTAGGGATAGATTACTGGGTCCTGTGGTAACTCCAGATTTAAGTGCTATGTTTCCAAGTTGGCTATACCATTTTTCACCCCCATGAGCAGTGTGTGATGGTTCAAATTTTCCCAGGTCCTTGCCAACACGTGCTATTTTCTATTCTTCAGACTACATCCATCCTAAGTGGGTATGAAGTGGCATCTCATTGTTTTGATTTGCGTTTCCCTAATGATCTCTTCATATGCTTCTTGGTCATCTATATATGCTCTTCGAGAGCATATGTGTTTAAATCCTTTTACCCCCTTTTCACTGGGGTTGTCTTTCTATTGCTGAGTTGTAAGCAGCAATTTGTATTCTAGATACATGTCCCTTACCAGACTTGTCATTTGGAAATATTTTCTCGCATTCTACAGGTTGATGGTGTCCTTTGAATACAAACATTTTTAATCTTGATGGGGGTCTAACTTCTCTATCCTTTAACTGTGCTTTTGGTGTCCTATCTAAGTAGGCTTTGCCTAACCCAAGGTCCTGAAGATTTAATCCTAAGTCTTTTGCATGTGAGTATCCAGTTCTAGTACCGTTTCTTATGCTATTCTTTCCCATACATCACATCACATCACATACTACATACCTTTTATTTTTTTAATTAAAAAAATTTTTTTTTGGTTAAAAAATAGATGATGTGGGGCACCTGAGTGACTCAGAGGGTTAAAGCCTCTGCCTTCAGCTCAGGTCATGATCCCAGGGTTCTGGGATCAAGACCCGCATCAGGATCTCTGCCCAGCAGGGAGCCTGCTTCCTCCTATCTCTCTCTCTCTCTCTCTCTGCCTGCCTCTATGCCTGCTTGTGATCTCTCTCTGTCAAATAAATAAAATCTTTAAAAAAATAGATGATGTGGCAAGAGCTTGGTGGGTATTCTAGAGTTTGGACTACTATGAGGAAAGCAGGTTTATCATGATGGTAGATATTCGAGCATGTTTGGATGCTGAAATGATGATCCAATGGAGAAGGGAAAAAAACTGCACAGGGCAGAGGGAATAATATCTAGAACATTTGGGTAGGAGCTGCCCTTGCTGGTTGGGTCTCCGAGAACATGTCCGAGATTCCTTGGACCTAATGAGAAGGGAGACCGGAGCGGACCTAACCTTGCATGTAGATCTTAATATGCTGATGTATGGGCTTCTGAGGGTTTTAGTCACAAAGCATGACATGAGGTCACTGGCCTAGAGGTTGGGGAGATGGTGATGGATGTGAAGGGAAAGGCGTGATGCTGCGGTCTAGTTGGCAGGAGAAGAACCCAGCTAGAGCTACCCCATAGTGTGGCCGGCGGTGCCGGGGCAGCTGGCGGCCAGGGGGAGGCACAGTGTTGGTTGGCAACTTGGTTCTCCAGGACTGGGATTTTATGGGCAAGGTGCTTGAGGAGTCCTTGCAGTGAAGGCTGTGGAGCCCAAGGCGGGTGTGGAGAATGGTCTGGAAGCGAGGAGGTGGCAGAGCAGGAGTCGAGCAGGAGTTGTGATACTTAAACAAGAGAGCTTAGAAGTACAGGAGTGGGTGGCCGGGAACGGAGATGGCTGCTGTGGTGGTCTCTGGCACTGCCCAGGTGTGGGGGAGTGAGCTGGGACCAGGAGGGGTAAGACTTGGTGTTTGAAGCAGATCAGCCCTGATACAGTCAGTGTCTGTTGATGGAAGGTTGGGCTCCTTGTGAAGCCTTCTATGCATGGGCAGGTGCGACAGGGGCGAGAGGCAGCACCAAGGTGGGGTGGAGGGGTCTGGCCAGCTAGAACTTGGGCTTAAGTTGAAGAATTGTCTAAAACTCTGGGACCATGGTCCAGGAGTGGCCATGAAGAGCAAGGCAGCCCCGTCCTGCTGAGTGCATGTGCCCAACCGTGATGGAGGTAGTTACAAGTGCAGGAGGAATTTTGCAGAAGACCTCAACGTTGGGGGGAGAGGCAGGGGGTCGCTCAGTACAGAAGGCCCAGGAGGTGGGACAGTGCCCTCGGTGCCGTCAGCCCTTGGCTCTCCAGTGCATTGACTGTCAGCAGCCTAGGGTACAGGCGGGAGATCATAGAGGACCCTGGTGGCCTGACTTGCTCGTGGAGACTGAGACCAAGAGGGGAGGGAACAGGATGGTTCTGTGGTCCTTGTCTATCAGTGGGAGTTGAGAACATGGGTCTTGAAGGTGTTGAGCGGGGTGTGGTAGGCTGTCTCCAGTAAGCTGTGAACAAGGAGGCTGGCTGATGGCTCCGGGGCTCTACAGTGGGGTGGTACCTTTTCCTTCTGCGATTCTGGGACATAACCTCCTGTCTTTCCTGCTGCAGGGTTCCAGCCCCACAGCAATGGTAGGAGCCCTACTCCTGCCCCTAGACCATCCCTGCAGCGGCTTCTGAAGGCATTGTTGGCAGAATCTGGGAACCCTGACGCCAGTGGCCCCAAGGCAGGAGGCCGACATGTTGCTGCAGGGCCCCTAGAGAGCTCACATAGCTGGGAGCTCCCTGCACAGAGGAAGGTCGCTATGGGGGCCTCTGCAAGGCTGCCTCAGACCCCGGCTTCCTCCCTGAACTCCAGGCCTGGAGCAGGTGTTCCTGGTGTTCTAAAGAGGTCCCAACTGGCCCAAGCCCCCTCTGTACCCCCAACTACATCTCCAGAAGCAGAAGGCCAGGTAGTGCCTATCCAGGATGCTTTGGGGAACCCAGATCTGCCAGAAGCAGGTGTACCTGAAAGTCCTTTCAGGGGGATGCCCAGAGGTCAAGCCTGTGGCTTCTGTCCCCAAGGGGGAAGGGCAACTTCTGTCTAGAAGAGCAGGGTTGTGTAACCCCTGGCCTTTCCGGGCAGTGCCTGGTCTTCCAGCCCCAATCTAGCTACCCTGTCTGAGGCCTAGGACTCTCCCTCTGCCCCTTCCTTCCCCATGTGTTCTCCTGAGGGCTCCTGGGGACAAAGGGGACTTCTAGGTCTATTGGGGGAAGACAGGCCTGTCAAGAGATGCCTGGCTCTGCCTTGCTCTCAGCTTCTGCCCTAGCCCTGGAGGCTGCTGGGAAGGGGAGAGGATATTCTCCAGGGCTCCAGAACCCTGGGAGTCCTCCTGTAGGTGAGTTTCAGCTCCCCCAGCATGCTCAGGTTCTGCCCCTCTCTTTCAGTCCAGGACTCGGGGAGCCTGTGGCTGGGACCCTGGGACTGGCCTCACATCCTTGGTGTTTGAGTGCTCGGAATCTGTAGCCTCCAGCTCCACCCCCCAGGGGATTTCAGCTTGTTCCCCTGCAGTGCAGGGAGGCTCCAGTGACTGGAATGTTATCCCAGGGGGTAAGGAGGTAGGGGTGGAGTCCTCCAGCACTGCACAGTCGGGGAGCTCAGCGAGAATGGGAGGCCCTGGACCTAGGACTCAAACCTCCTCTCCACCCTGCTTTGCCGTTCCCAGGAGCCTACTCCCTCCACCAGCCAGGGACTTGGTCACAGAGTCAAGTTGGGAAGTCTCTGGAGGCTGGGAAGGGACTGGGGTAGGGTGTGTGTGTGTGGTGTCAACCTGTTTTCCTTCTTCAGCAAAGTCCTGTCCTTACCTCCTGTTGCTGGGTGAAAGCTATTCCAGGAGTGAAGAAAGTCTGGGGTGCTTACAGGCCAGGAGCCCCTTAATCCTGGAGAGGCACTATTCTGGTTCCCTGTTGGAAGCCTGTGAAAGCCTTGCTTGGAGTGGGGGTGGGGGGAGTAGGAGCCCGTGTCCCGGCCCTGTGGGGCCAAGCGCCTCAGACATTCTGCGGGAAGGCAGAAATAAAAATTGGGTATTTGCTCCAGGAACTGGGTGCTGAGCTGTGCATGAGTACGTTTAACCCTGCTGACTGATCTGGGAGGGGACTTCAGGGCCTTATACCCACTTCCCGGATTGGGGTGGGAAGAGGGATTCACGGCAGCAGAGGGGCAGGGCTGAGGGAGCAGGGCTGCTTGTGGTGTTTCAGTGCTGGGGAAGAGCTTGGCCTTTGCCCACCTCCTGGGCCAGTCTGGGGACGTGAGGCTATGCTCCGGGGTGGCTGGAGCCTCTGCCCTCAGTCCATCTTGGGTTTCTGTCTTGAGTCTGAAATTTCCTCAGACTGAGCAGAGGCCTGGTCTCAGGTATTAGCCTCAGGGAAAGATCATGGGTTGGGGAACACGTGATCCCTCTGCTTGTCCCTGGGCAGGAGAGGAGAGGGGCTGAGTGAGCCTAGAGTGAGCGAGGAGTGGCTCCAGCCCTGTTCCCACCAGGGTGACCATTCCCCTGGGCCTGTTCCCACCAGGGTGACCATTCCCCTGGGAGATTCCCAAGCGAAGATCGGGAGCCTACACAGTGCCCCTCTTTATCAGAGAAAGACCCATCTATGGGTTTCTTTCGGTGGTAGAGCCAGGCCTCTGGCTCTGGGCTGGGCTTTCTTGGTGGCCACGCTAGGTCAGAGGCCATGAGGAGCTTTGTGCCCTGGAGGCCCTCCCAGTTCTCAGACGCTGCCTGCCATTAGCCTCCATTAGGACATGGCTTTTGGATTCTCCAGAATTTGGGTTCTCTAGACCATAGGGTTGGCTGAGCTTGGTGGCTCAAGGGGAAGAGTGCTTTCCCCCCTCTTCTTTGGGGGTGAGCAGGGTCATCACCAGGGCTGTCCTTACCCTTCAACCCTGAAGCCACCTGTCACTACAGACCCCATTCCCCAGGCCTGTTCCACAAGCCCCACCCTGCCCCCGTGGTCCAGCCTTGGTTCAGCCCCTGAAGCCCTGGTGTGGAGATTATGCCATGGATGGGATGAGGGCTGTTAACCAGAACCCGGTAGCTAGCCACCCATCCCGGGCTCCGTGGCCTATTCCCTAATCCCCAGCCACATAACTACATGTCCTCACTCCTCAATTTATTCACTTACTTGATAGACTCTGTTGAATTAGGTGCCAGGCTAGCTCGGCTATGGGCACTGGAAGTAACATGGTGAGCATGGCAGGGTTTCCATTCTTGTGGAGTTTATTTGGGGGTGGACAAAGGATGGACAGTAAATAGATAAAATAAGTCATCAGGGATTTATAAATGATGGAGGAGGGTGTTCCTTTAGGATGTTGGCATTTCAACTGGAACCTGAATGATAGAGACTACTCTGAACAATCCAAGGAAATAGTGCAAAGGCCCTGAGGCAGGAGGGAGTTAAGGTCGGAGTGGAGGGATGATGTATGGTGGGGCAGGGGAGGCTGGCAGGGCAGGGATAGAGAGGGATGATTTTATTCCAAGAGCAACAGGGAGCAGCTGCTGGAGGATTCTAAGGAGGGGAGTGATAAGATAGAAGCTTTTAAAAGCCTTCCTGGATGCTCCGTGGAGAGTAGATTAGAAGCAGGGAGAACAGCGGGGAAGCATTATAGTTGTGCAAGCCAGAGCGATGGGGCTGTGGAAGGGGGCGGAGTGGGGGATTCTGGAACATGCCTTGACAGTTAAGGCAATCACACTTGCTTACGGGATGCAGGGGGTGAGGGTACCACATATAGTATGGTGTGCAGACCTCAGGGGAGGTGAGGGAGGGTGTGGGCTGAATGAGCCTGGAGTTCAGGGCAGGAGATGGACTTCAGGGCATCCTCAGCATCTAGGTGGGAGCTATGGGGCTGGATGAAATTACTAAGAGTTTGGGTCCAGAAGACAAGGGACCCCAGGACTGAACAGGGGTGCTGTGACCTGAGGGCAGCACTATTAGTGTTTTGTGCCTCATAATTGTTTATTGCAGGGGCTGTCCTTTACTTTGTAAGACGTTCAGCAGCATCTTTGGCCTCTACCCACTAGACTCTAGCAGCAACCCCTTTCCTCCTGTTGTGACCATCAAAACTGTCTCCAGGTGCCAGATTGCCCAATGTTACTGGAGGAGAAGGGGGGGAAAAATCCCGCTCAGTGAGAATCCGTGATTGGGAGTTTGGGGGAGAAAAGGAGACCAAGAAGGAAGGCGTGGCCTCGAGCCTGCCGTGTTCTCAGGGAAGGGAGCATTCTGTGGTCTAAAATCTTGCTGAAAAATTAGGAGGACACACTTGGCGTGGAGTCAGGAGTCACGAATGACCCACCAGGAATAGATTCAGTGGAAGGCAGGGTGTGAGGGGGTAGAGATTGTACAGAGAATGGTTTAAGATGGTGGCAGGTGGCATAGAGGGCTTCTCAGGGAGGGGGCGTGATGCTGGAGGGGGTGACTGCCGGAGCAGAGTCCTGGAGGACAGGAGAGGGTTTGAGATCCTTGCAGAGGTCTTGCCTTCCCAGCAGAGCTGGAGCTTGGGTGAGTGAGTTTGGGGAACTTCCTGCCTATGGGCCTTTATCTTCTAGGTCGGAGGCAAAGTCACGTCCTGGAGTGGGGGAGGGTGTGCAGGCGAGAAGGATGAGCGGGCTACTGATACTGGGGGGGGGGGTGGTGGAAGGTGAGTACCCTAGGGAAGTCTGAGATGTGTGGTCACGCCCTTAAAGCGAGGCCAGTCGATGCTGGGAGTGTTGCGCTCCAGAAGGAGCAGCTGCTCCAGCAAAGCCAGATGGCTGATTGAGGTCCGCCCAGGGTTGGGGTTTTGTCAGGTGAGGTGCACTGGAGGAGAGGGTTCCGGACCTGCATCATGGAGGGCATGAATCAAGGGACTGGGAAGGTGGGGAGATTGGGGCCTATGGGGTGGTGTGAGGAGAGGGCCCTAGGGATTTGAAAGGTGGGGGCTTCTGGGGAGAGCCGGGGTGTGAAGCCCAGTTGGGCCCCAGTCCTATGGAGCCCTGGCATGGGAGAATCCGGGGCCAGTCTTGGCACTCAGGCCTGGATAAGAGGCTCCAGGGCTTTCAGCTAAGGTGTCCCCGTGTCCCTAACTGTTCCCATGTCTTTGGAAAAGATGGTACTAGGTAACCTCCCCCCACCCCTTTCCAAGGGCATCCTCTGGGGATACCTTCATTTGGGCACTAGTGGAGAGAGGCTCATATATGTCCCCAATGGGGCCAGGCTGTCACTCCCCCTTCTCATTCAGGGACCTTGGCCAGTGCTGGGGACAGAGAAGGGATGTGTGCTGTCGTCCACCAGCCTCTCAGTACTTCTCTGGCTGTGACAGTGGTACTGTGTACACGGTGTCAAAGAACTTGGAAAGCAGGGTACCTCTTTCTCCCTGGAAGGGCGGTGGGTGAGAGGTGAGTGGACCTTGGAGAGTGGGAGGGCCACCAAGCACAGAAGTAGCAACCAGCTCCTGGGAAGGGCCGGAGATGTGGGAGCTCAGGGCACGTTCAGGGACCACTAGGTAAGCTGGCGCAGCCAGGATGGCAGGCCAGTGCCCTGCTGGGGCTGCTCTGAGGCAGCTCCTACCACTGGTGGAATGGAACCCTGGTGGAATGGAATAAAAATGGAAGGTCAGCTCTAGTTTGGGAATAGCTGAAGCTATGGCCTGAGGCTCAGTTTCATGCAGGGCTGGGGCCAGGAGGCAGCCCCAGAAGGTGTGTATGGGAGAGAGAGCTGCAGAGAAGGGTGGGAATCAACTTATGTAATGGCTTCCACTGCCCCCAAGAGCCCACTGCACATCTGGGAGGTGGGGCTGGGAGGTGGCAGCATGTGACACAGACCCTGGGGCTGTGGCTGAGCCTCACAGATGCCTGTAGACTGTCCCTGGCTGTCCCTACTGGGGCTTGGGCCCGGTAGGGCTTGACACTTGGTGGATCCAGAGCTGGCTGCCTGTTTGGGGAAGGCCCAAGTGGAGGGAAGGGGCAGGGGACAGAGTCTGAGCAGCTCTGACCACAGCTCCTTCGGGATCCTGGTGCCTTTCGAGGAAAACTTGGGCCAGGAAACAAAGGGCTGATGCTGACTGCAGTGTCTGGGGAGATACCCTCTGGCCCCCCAGTGTAAGTGTGGTTGGAGATGGTGAGAAAGTGGTCCCTCAGTCCAGCCTCGGGGAGGGGGCTGCTGAGGCCCCTCCATCTCTGGCCACCCCAGGCTCAGCCCAGCTAGCAGGTGGGGGTGCAGCGTAAAACCTGTCTCTGGAGGCGCTGTCCTCTCCCACCATCAGGCTGAGGGCGCTCAGACTTCACAAAGGCACTGAGTAAGGTGGCGGGAGGTGGGGACAGCCCTGGCTCAAGGAACCCTTCCACCCCTGCTGTGTGAGGCTGGGGAAGGGTGAGACATTGTGGGCACTGTGAGGTCATTCCTTGGTCTCATGAAGACGGAGCAGGGAGGCAGGAAGGTCCAGCACGCACGCCATCTCAAGTCCGGGTCCGTTCAAGGAGCCCTACTTTTCGGGGTGTCTTGATGCTTATTTATACAGAGGATGTCCTGCAGAGACATGAGCTATAAATACAAGGCCTGGGGCATGACATCAGGGGCTCTAGGCTGGTGCTGGTGGCAGTGGCCACAGGGAGAGTAAGTAGGGCTTAGGGTGCCAGAGGGAGAGCCTAGGTTCTTGGAGTCTGGCATGGGGACGGGATGGGGTGGGGTGATTCATCTGAAGTTTCTTACCCAGCTCCTTCTACAGCCATTCCAAGAGGGGTGTGACTATGTGGGGAGAGTCCGCAGGAATGCGGGGTGTGTGTGTGTGACAACATAGTCAAAGCGATGCTCCTCCCTGCCTAGCTGCCCCTGAGACCTACTTTTTCTCTGAGCTGTGTTAAAAAGCTGAGATTGGAATCAAAGCCAGTTTTCGTCTTATCCCTTTGCCCTTAGTGGAGGAAACCGAGGCAGCGGTGGGGTTGGGGTGGGGGCAGACAGCTGAAGTCCTAAATCTTTGAGCACACCCCTGCCCCACCAGCCTTGGGAACCTCCGTGCCCGCAGAGTACGGCGAGGACTACCGACACGCGGGAGGCAGCAGGGGGCGCTCGCAACCCGGCCACGCGCTCTGCAGGCCCGACGGAGTCCGGTCAAGAAAGCGCTTGGGGAAGGGGCTCGGGACAGTCTCCCCGTTCCCTCCTACTCCTTCCACTCGGCTTCCTTCTCGAGCGCCGGGTAGGTGGTGTGGTTCAGTGCGCTGCGGTGCCCCAACACACCCACCTAGCCTCTCCTTGGGGCTCCTGCGCGGCGGGAGGAGCGATCAGCCGGAGCCCACGGTCCTCGATCTCGGTGCTCCGACCGGGTCTGCAGGCGAGAGGTCCCGCCTCGGTCCCAGCTCCCCGCCGTGAGAACCAGCCCTTCCACTTTTGCAAGGATCCTTCCCGGAGTCCCGAAGACCCCAGATGACGGTCTCTCGGACCTCCCGTGGCTCAGAGGCCGGGAAGAAAACGGGTAGGAGAGCCAGGGCGGAGGCCCGCGGTGCGGGGAGGCTGCGGCCGGCGAGTCCTCCCTCCAGGCGCACCTTCCACCCATCCTGGGTCCACCCGCCCGCCCCGCCTCCCTTCCCTTCCCTCCC